CCCCCAGGAGCTTCTTTGCTACTAGCAGCAAGGCCAGGAGCCCCTAGTAGCTTCTTTGCCAGGAGCCCCTAGTAGCTTCTTTGCTACTAGCAGGAAGGCCGCTACTAGTAGTAAGGCCAGGAGCCCCCAGTAGCTTCTTTGCTACTAGCAGTAAGGCCTCGAGCCCCTAGTAGCTTCTTTGCTACTCGTAAGGCCAGGAGCCCCTAGCAGCTTCTTTGCTACTAGCAGTAAGGCCAGGAGTAGTAGCTTCTTTGCTACTAGCAGTAAGGCTAGGAGCCCCCAGTAGCCCCTTTGCTACTAGTAGTACTTGCTCGATGATTTTCATCGTGCAAAGTGCTGCATCATCCCAATCTTCTTCGCCCACTGAAGTTGGTTTGCGATGGTGACGGTGACAGTGCTGTCGCAGCGACCTACTGGCCACTGCTCTCTGGCATTACTGTTGGAGAAGCAGGCCAGGACCACATGTGGCTCGATCTTCTTTCACAGATGTTCAGCCTCATCGCATATTGCCAGAAGATGCAGCACCCACTATGGGACCCTTGGCAAGCCAAAATATCATATGGCGCTGTTGCGCATGTTGGTATCTCTTAAAATGTCAAGGCACTGGAAGTCCCCATGTGTATGCACGCCCCTGTTTCCTAAGATGAAGGGGGTGTAGCATGGTGTAGCCACGTAGCCCTTTTCGTTTGAAGTTTCAGCGGGAATTGATGGCGTCGGCATGGATCCCGATGTTGATGGCTCTGATCTGTGGGAATGTTGATGTTCAAGTGACCTTCCTGAGCTAACAAAGGCGCAACTTCACCGAAATCACTTACTGTTCCCATTGCAAAAGTTGTGTCGGCAATCAGCAGTAAGAGAACACTACACGCTTCTATTTTTCACAGCTAGGTAGTGTACATATCGACCCTTACGACCGCCGCATACTTTGGCTCAAGAAAAAGGTGGTCCTTTCAGGCTGTTACCTGTTTGAAATAGGTTATCAGCCGTAGGTCTCTTTGATTTTCCTCTTGCTCTTCGTCCCTCGCACGCCGTCCATGGCAGGCTCTGGCTATCCCGCAATTATCGATCTTTCGTCCGAGCGGGATCAAATGTCCACACGAGAGGAAACGCCTGAGTTCGCGAGTTCCACCGCACTCGTTCCGGAAGGGTTAGGTTACATGGACACGCCCTTGGGGCCTGACATTCTCCAGTACACCCCTCCTGTTGCGAGTGCCAGCTGGAACGCTGTGCCGTCAATAGTTTGAATCAAATGAATGTTTTGAACCAGCACCTGCATGTTCACCAGGCCCCAACCACCGACACCCGGTTGATTGAGGCAGTCGCCGAGGAACGACATCGGCATGCCATGGATCGTCAAGGTGAACAACTCCAATTGGTGAGTACTCAGCGTGACGAAATGAGAGCACAGGGCTTGAGATTCATGAATGAGGCTGAACAAATGTTTCATGAGAATGAGGTTGCAAAGCAAGAAGCAAGTGCTTTTGTTGAAGCCGCAAACAAAGGATACGGAGCTAGTAGCGTCCTTGCTCCTAGTAATAAGGCCAGGAGCCCCTACCTAGCAGCGTCCTTGCTCCTGGTAACAAGGCCAGGAGCCCCTGGTAGCTTTCTAGTTGCTAGTAATGAGCCCAGGAGGAGCCCCTAGTAGCGTCCTGGCTCCTAGTAATAAGGCCAGCAGCCCCTAGTGTAATATGGCCAGGAGCCCCTACAGTAGCGTCCTGCCTCCTAGTAATAAGGTCCTTGCTCCTAGTAATATGGCCAGGAGCCCCTAGTAGCGTCCTTGCTCCTAGTAATAAGGCCAGGAGCCCCTAGTAGTAAGGCCAGGAGCCCCTAGCAGCATCCTTGCTCCCAGTAATAAGGCCAGGAGCTCCTAGTAGCGTCCTTTGCGGCTGGAGGTCTTCCGGCTGAAGCAGCGCGTGCGCTCGGTGAACAATCGGCGCTTGTGGGTGCTGAAGGAGTTTCAGAAAGAGCACAGCGACACTGAGCTGCAGCCGCGAGACGAAAAAGCACAAAACTCGGTGTCCTGTTTTTTGGGGAAGAAATGCCTTCCAATTTTGTTTCTTCTCGGCCTCTTCTCATTGTCTTCCTAACGGACCGACACCGGAGTCTTGAATGGTTTCCCAGTTGAGCATGCGAAGTTGAAGTCGGTTGAAAGCTGATGTCGACCGTGAGGGCTATGACCCCTCCTGGCTGACCCTACATTGGAAGGGCCAGGGGTCCCAGATTTGTATAGGTTTTGAGGTCCGCGTGGACCTTTTCTTGCGAGCAGGAAATGAATTGAATGGGCCAGATGAACTCACGAGCCAGGAAAGTACAGTGGAAGTGTGCGTGAACATCCATCCCCTTTGCAAGGGCACTGCCAAGTTCATAGCGGATCTGTGCGAGTGTACGCCTGCGCCGTGGTCGCATTGAAAGAGACCTGCTCCAACCTAATAGCAAGAGATCCTCTCAATAGCAATGGCCTCCAACCTAAGAGCGATGGCCTCCAGCCCAGTAGTGGTGGCCTCCAACCCAATAGCGAGGGCTTCTACCAGGTGTGCAAGAGCGATAAATTTGGCGATACCAGGTTTGCCATATGCTCTTCGGCGCTGGAGTTTGGAGTTCGGGTCGGCCCGGGTCAGGAGGTCTTCGGGTCGGCTCTGGTCTCACCAGGTCTCATCGGAAGTGGCCGCACACCCTGACACTCTGGCGGCCCAAGCGACTCTGAAGGACATTGCAGCGGAGCGGAACTGCAGCAACGCTCCGCCGTGGGCGTTGGAAGATCGAGCCGAACTGCGAAGTGATCTGGTTGGCAACTTCCCGAGAGTGTCTGAGCGAAGGGTTTCTTCTTTTGAGAAGCAGGAGCAAACACATGAGCATTATCATTAGTAATATCAGTTTGCTGGATTGTTTGGGACATGGAAACAAAGTGTATTCTTTTACCAGTGTGCGTAGGAAAGAAGATTCGAAGATCCTCTATGTTTGCTGCGGGAGAGGCTCTAGCAGTTGCAGTATTCCTCGTTTTTGGAGGTTGTCGAAATGGCAAGGGAACCGCCAGAGGTCTTGGTCTTGGCAGATTTGGTCGGGCGATGTTCCGCTGTAGGGGTCGGATGAAAGGACGCCAGGGGCATGTGTCAGTGCCAGCATAGGTTCAATGGCATTCTTTCAGGCTAGTAGGTTGGAGGCCATCACTACTAGCTTGGAAACCAGGGCCATAGGTTCCGCATTCTTGAAAAAGCATCTGGGACGTGGCAGATCCGTTGGACGCCCGTCCGGTCCCACGAGTCCGGTCCCAACCGCTGTTCGGTATAGGCCATGTCGCAGTGGATGAGCTCCAATTTGCTGGGCAGAGAGCTGGAAGCGTCGCGCAGAGAAAGCGTCGCAGAGAGCTGGAAGACTTTGAGTTGCTTGCTTGAAGACCCGACGACCAACGCCCATGGGCACAGACCCGGAACCCCCCGAAAACGAACCCGGGACACCGAAACCGGACACCGAAACGGACACCGAAATCAATGACCGAAATCAGGTGGAATGAAGCCAGGGTTTTTTGTACTACAATTTCCATACACATCCGGCTCGTCCTGAGTTTGTCGGAAGGGTTCTGACCAAAATCCGAGAGGATTGGCCTATCATTGTTGTCTCTGACTGAAAGGAGTGATCCATCAAAAACAGTGGATCATCTGAAGCCACGATGAGTATCTATTCCGTGGTTGTTTTGACGAGGAAGCTTCGATGGGCCCAGACTTCTGCCAACAGGGTAGGGGGGGTGTTGCATAGTAAATGCGTAATTCGATGCTGCTGCCACAGACTTCGTTCTTTCGGCTTCCACAATGGAAAAAATATGAAAAAAATGGAGTCCAAGACTATTGTTCAAAGTTCAAATGCTCTTTTTGCTTGACACGAGTCTAGGAATCTCTTTACTTCGGTGGTGACAAATATTGTCAACCTGGACTGGACAAGACATGCTGGATCCGCTGGATCGATCGGACAGTTGTCCAGGTCGGACCATTTTCACACACAGATTGGATGTCAGGAGGTTTGAATGCCATTCTTGTTCCTAGTAGCTTCTTTGCTCCTAGTAGTACAGCCAGGAGCCCCTAGTAGCGTCCTTGCTCCTAGTAGCTTGAGGTTTGAGGTTTTTTCACAGCTCTGCCGTTGGAGAGAAGCGTTGCTCCCTGAAAAAAGAGAGACTAGAAGCGCACACCCATGCCGTGCCGGCGCACACCCATGCAGGTTCGTTCCCAGACAACATCGCAGGGTCCTCGTATTCGTCCGTTCGTGTTCAGGTCGGTCACCACAAATCACTGGCTCTCACAAATACTACTAGCAAACATTGTTACTACTAGTAAGGCACCTGTTACTACTAGCGTGGCACCTGTTACTACTAGCTTCTTTGTTACTACTGGCTCTCACAAATCCTTCCTCTGCTCCAGCCGAGGGACCTGTGCATCTCTGCTTCGGCCGCTGGGCTGTTTCGCCCGACGGTGGGCTCTCGCCCCGGTCTCGTTCGAGACGAGTCGTCGCGCTGCGCTTCCCGAGTCGTCTCGGGGTTCTTCGGTTCATGTTGCTGCGAGTCATTGGTTTTCTTTGGGTGGGTAGGTGGGAGAAGAATTTCACAGGTCACATGGACGGGAAAATGCCGGAAAACCCCTGACACGACCTGGTTGACGGGTGTTTTGAGTTTTGATCATACTTGCATGCATCCTTAGGAGTTGGGGGGTCACCGGGGTTCACCTATTCAACCTGCAATGGAGTTTGATCCTGGTGGCAATTCTCCAGAGCTGCTAAGTGAGCTCTGCAGGAATGAAGAATGCACTGCCCACGTTCGGTAGTTCGACACCAAGGAGAAACACAGCTGACACAGCACAATCATCATTCACTCGTAATCAGAGTAAACCCAGAGCCAACCAGTATAATATACATATATATATATGTATGTATATGTCTCAACTCCCTATTGGTTACCATGAGAAGGCTTTGGTTGACATGAGAATGGTTGACCGTGAGACTGGTGAGACCACTGGTTGACCGTGCGTGACCCTCAAAACGCCGGACCGGGCTGCATCATTGACCGTTGCTGCATGAGGCAGATGGTAAAGGTACCGCCAGGATGAAAACCCCACCTTTTTGGTCGCATGCAAAGACGGACAGAATGGGGCACTGAGAGGCAAACTGGCAGTTTTGGTGAGTCGCTGATGGAGATGAGATTCGACACTTTCCCTGCAAGGAACACTACAATGCTAATTGGAAACGCACGTGTTCGGTGAAAAAACATGATCGGTCGTTCCATACAAAAATGATTCGGCGCCAAGCGTCGATGCAATCAACCCGAAATCCTGAACTGGCTAAGCCGAGATGTGATCCCTCTAGTTGATTGGTCCAAAAGGGGGTCATGCTCTGGCCTTTTGGGTGGTACAAGCCACGGCCAGACTTAACGTTGAAGCTGGAGCTCCCAAAAATCACGAACATCCATACCACTTCTTCTTTTGAATAAAAATATATTACATTCTGACATACCACTTCTATCGGTACAGTATGTGAGCCTTTGGCAGCTTGGTGGCCTTTACATGTTTGTTTGACTCCTTGTCATTGAGTCTTCAGGATCGGGGCTTGGCTGAAGGCTATCGTACTGGGCAGAAGACCCTGGACGTGGCGCCTTGGAGACATTCTTTTGGCCCGGGGGGGTGGTGTAGGTAGTAGCACGAGTAGCTAATAAGTAAGCTTCTGGGCACAGGACGCTACTATTTAGGACGCAGGATAGCTCACGCACTATTCATTTGGTTCCTAGATGTTCAGGGAAACTTAAGTTGTTGTTGGTGCTTCGTGTTTTCGTTGGACTTACTGGGCTTTTGGTGCCACAGGTTGAGGCTGCCGATGTGCAATTCGGAATGAATGAGTTGGCGTCAAAGTATCGAAGGCAAGGCTAACAACCACGTAGTTGGTTGGCTGTTTAGCATTTCAGTGGAGAAGTATTGAGTTGGTCAGGTTTGGGTTCGGCTCCTCAGCCAAGTTGGTGTTAGATCACTCAATCGCGCCAAACGATCAGACGAACCATCCGGCGACCAGTGCAGGTGGAGTTCCAAGATGGCTTGTACATCGCGGATCGAAAGCTTGGTCAAGCATTACACGCTGTGCAACTGGAGCAGAAAGAGCGCTTCTGTGTGAAGATCCGTGTGATCCCGTTGTGTCCCCACACTGCGAAGGTGGTGTTGGCCAACAGTTCCCAGAAGCCTGGCAAGCCTGGCATTGTGTGTGTGTTTCCACCTATTTGCCTTGACTCTCCGTTTGAGGGAGAGGACCTCAAACTAAACGATATCAAATCGTAGATTGAAAGCTTTTCATTGTTCAGATATAAAATTTAGGGACTCCTCGTTCCGAAGACTTTGACAACAATGTTCAGCATCCAGCTTCTCGTCAGCGAAGCATGCGAACGCATCCTCTTGCATCTCCTAAGGAACAACGGTGACAGTGTGAAAATTCGGGGCACACTCCAAGATGGTGATGAATGGCCTCTGGATCGGATCGTTTCTCGGTTTCATGGGCAGCCCTGGGCCAGGTCCGCCGAGCTTGAGTTCTTGAGTTCGAGGTCCCGGAGTCAGAACTGGTCAACGGGTCAAAGAAGGTGTTTGTCAAGACAAACGAAGTGTCCCTAAACATCTAGGAACCAAAGGATTAGTGCGGGCGCGATCCTGCTTCCTACCTAGAAGCTCACTTAGCCTAGTAGCTTACTCCCTTAAATTACTTTAGCAGAAGTAATTAGGCACCTAATTACTTGTTTTTGTAGGGAGGGGGGGTGTTTTTGTGCCAAAAAACAGAACTCGTCCGAGGTGTTGCTGCTTTTGGAGCTCGCCCTGGCCGTGTGTGACTCACCCCGTGCGTCGCAGATCTTCGGGATCCTTGCGTCGGGACGGCTGCTGGGGGAGCGCTCCGCGTTGATCACATCGATCAGATCCAAGAAGCGGTTGTCCCAGAAGATCCTGCAAAAGTCTTGGCCCTTCCTGCAGCTGGGCCAAGGGATGACTGTCACTGGAATGAACCAGAAGGGGATGGAAGGGGGTTTTGAAACGAACCCAACTTGCGGACCAAACGGGAGGGGGTGGGGGTGGTCTATCGGTGTGAGCTGTGTTTGATCGGGGTTGCGGTTGCGCTCTTCGGCTGCCGCCATTCGGTGAAAGACGACGGGCTTTCGGGAGGGCCCCGACCCAGTGGAGAACAGGTCTTTCAGTGTTCGGCCAAAAGTGTGCGATCTCGGCTTGCCTTGTAAGTATTCGAACTGACCTTGTTGGTGCCAAAGCCTACTCGATGTTCAACTGGAAATCCAATGCTGCCTTTTCTACGTAGGCTTAGCCTCGACCGCGTGTCATTCATCAAACTAGACCTAGTTTGGGTTGTCATATGTTGTCATATTTGCTCATCCATCCATCAAAATGTGGGTGCCAATAAGGAGAATGGTCACCTCAGAATCTAAGAACCACGCAAAAATTGCAAGTGCTTCCGGCTTTCTAGGCCGCCGCCCATGCCACACCGCTTGAGTTTCTGCGGATTGGAGCGTTTTTTGGGGAGGCAATCCAGGTTGCTCAAGGGTGAGGCTGTTTCCATGTGTTTGATGTTCATGAATTTATTCATTTTCAGACCACGAAAACGTTTGTTTTTACTCGACAGTGGGGGTCGAAGGAAGTGTGTTTCTCCGTCCCCACGGCCGAGGGTTTTGGGACAGAGAGCGACCATGCCGACCGATGCCCACCATCCGTGTCAAGGCAGCAGCTGATGAATCTTGCACCGTCCAAGTTCGACACCGCCTTGCCAATTTGTAGATACCTTTGCAAGGCCAGCCAGGGGAGTACTCCTGCCGAAGCCATCTCGCCCTTTGGCATGCAAGCAAGCAGTTGAGCACATCCGTCACGAAGCAAACGAAATCACGAAAGGGGTGATGGGTTTTTGGGGGCGGCTGGTGCCAAAGAAACATCAAATCGTTGGCTTTTTTCGCAGGTTCCGGATGTTTACTTCGTTCCTTCATCCATTGGAATACGGGTGGCTGAAGGACCTGCTTCCTTTCGCCGTACTCGGTCTAAGACCACACCATGGCGGGGCCCTGTTCGAGCAGAGTGGACGTTCTGTTCGGGATGTCTCCCCCTGTTCGGCTTAAGCCGAGAAAGTGACCATCTAGTATGTCTGTAGCGTCCATTTGTATGTCCGATTTGGAAGTCCTTCCAGAGGTTCCCGTACGCATTTTTCACGGGTTCGGTCTGAGCCTTCGACCCAAACAAAAGCCGGTCTGAGACTGAGGCAACTCTTGTCTCTGGTGTCCGCTGCGTCTTCAAGACTTTCCACTGGCGCTCCACAGGATGTCTGCTGGAACTGCATGCCGCTGGTCCCTTCGGCGCTGGAGCTGACACTTGGCGGGAGCCGGGCTCGTCACCGGACGAGCATGTTTTGTCCTTGGGGTCCGTCCAGGCTTCTGCTGGGACCAAAGGTACGTAGCCACTTGAGAACCTCTAGCCATACCCGTACTCGGCCCTGCACAAAAAAAAAGCCCCACAGCCCCTATTTCCCCAGGAAGTCGTTGAAGATTTTGCCCAACGGACGAGCACAACGCTCTGCCTTGCAACGGCTTCCAGTGGTGAGGCAGATCGGAAGCTATAAGTCTGCAGGCACATCGAAAGACAGCTGCGAGATATGTTCACTTGGCGGTGTAGACCATCGAGCATGTTTTGTTGGCGTCCTGTGATACCATTCTTGAGGTGTTCTGTATTCCAGGAATGATGACGTTTCTTCTCCCGTTTCCAGACGTATGGACAGTAGATGATGCGGAAGGTGCTAAACTCTAGACGGCTCCAAACAAACATGTTGTGTTTTCGTCCTCCTTTCATCAACCATCATTGCAAGCAAGTCTACAATAGTGTACACATTTACATACTGGTTTGAGATCGATGTAGCCCATTACCAGCAACAGTCGGTAAATAACGATCATTGTTTTGGGGAAAGGTTTGTACTAACTGTCATTGTCCACTGTTGCTGGTAAGGGGATTTTCCCAAGTTTGAGGATCATTCGATTCCGGTTTTGGCTGCACGCAAGAAACCCATGTGGATGGGTTGCCTTCTTCTTGGCGCAGGTGAGTACTTCGACACGTATTTCCGCTTGCTCCGGGAGGACTGCATCTCTGCCATTCGCCATTCCATCGCCTACGTCCGCGAGCATGGGCTGGGCCGAAATGGACCAAAGCAAGAGAGGGAAGCGGACGACAATGTCTTCAGAGCTACACTGAAAGGCTTCACAGTTGGTAAAGGCGCCTCAGTACGTGGGTAGTGTCGAGTTGTCCCATCATGACATACAGTGGAAAGGCAAGTGCCGCTCAAATGTATAGGACATATCTTTCGAGGCCATCCTCTACAACTCTGTTCTGGTTTGCGTCGCCGCATGGGAGATGATTATCTCTCAGACTAAGGCTTTGAAAATCGACCAGATCCCCACCTAATCTGGGATCCATTCTGAGCATCCATGCACTGCCTGTCCAAGTAGATGAGATGGCTTCCAACCTAATAGCAATGGCTCCAACCTATCCATTCTGAGCATCCATTCTCATGTGGCAAGACTTGTGAAGAAACCACCAAAAACCTGTCAGGTGATGGTGCTGATAGTCGGATCAAGGCCGGGACATGCCGTTCTTGTGGGAGACTTTTGTTGGTTGGAACATGCCGTTCTTGTGGGGTCATCTCAAATCGATGCACTCAAACCCTGCCTAGAAGAAATGTGCACGTTGTATTCTTCTGCACGTCTTCAGCAGCAAGAGTTGAGCACCCCAAGTTGATGGGCTTGGGCAATGCTTGTTCACGTTGTCAGCCCTCCAAGAGGAGAGCCTGGGAGTGTTTCAATATGATGGATTTCCCTGGCCCAGGAGACCTAAAGGTCTATAAGTATAACCTACAGCCAACCTGGAGAGAAGGAAACGCTGGTTTTGATGATTGTTGTGAGAACTGTTGTCCAACTTTCCCTGCTACCCATAATATGTTTGTTTGCAGGAGGTCTTCTCATTTGGTTCGAGTGATGATGCCTGAGGTGGTGTTTGAAGTAAAGCCAATGTTTTCATCGAAACGATGGATCTTCCGCAGCCTACGCTTCTTCATGAACGGCAACTTGCTGGCTTGTGTCTCTTGGCAGTCGATGCCAGCTTCACACTGGCAGTCGAATTGAGTGCGGCATTTGCACATGCTTACTGCTTGAGACTGACCGTGGCACGGCGCATGACCGTGGCACTCTCCAGGACTTGAATCCTCGACCGAATCGCGCCCGGCGCGAGGTCTGCGACCAGGACTTTTCAGATCCCATTTGGCTCCTGGCGGCACGACGTGATCTGAAACACTCCGAGGCGGGGGGGCGAAGTTGTCAACGGTGGCTTCGGACCTTCGGGGTTGCCCAACCCCCCCCAGGTGGCCTTGGAGTTCTACGACGGAGACGGAGGTGGACACCGCTCCGGTTCGGGCGGGCAGCTAACGAGCGCGCTGGCGCGGCTGGCGAGCGCGCGGCAGCTGACGTTGATCGCCTCGCCCACGTACTTTCGCTCCTTTGAGCCGGTGTTGCAGAGCCTCAAGACGTGGGAGACGGTTCCTCCGGAAGGAACGAAGCAGGACGTGGGTGTTGCGTGTGGTTTTTTGGAGTGGGGGTGGTTCTTTTTTTCCACAGTGGCAGTCAGTGGCTTGGTTCGTTTGGGGGGGTTTTCCTTTGCATTGGCTTCTTTGGAGGGATGCCAACGCCTTCGGATGGAGGGGGTGGCCATTTCCCCAAAGATTGAAAGCGATGGTGAGCTTCCGCTAGAACTCCTAGAGGCTATGATGGCTATGTTTGCAGTGGAAAGAGGGAGCCTTGTGATGCTTCTTTTTCTTTTGTCCAGAGTTGTGACGGTGTTTTCTGCGCTTCATGCCCCACCCATTTCAGGCTTCGTCGGCCAGGGAACCAGTTCTTCGCCTCGCTTCTCCTGCCCTCAACCCTCTTTCTCCGGTGTCTTTTCGTGACGACCATTGCTTCGCAACTTTTGATGAATTGAAGCACACCCAAACAGATTGCAGACACGATTCAGAAAGCCATAGCAATATCACTTGCAACTGGCAAAACCGCGTGGTTTGATAGTTCGACACTCCGGCTTGAGAAGAAATCTTGCGTGCGGCACATGTTCTCTCCATATGTGCTTCATTAGACGCCTCAGTGGAAACACGCCCTTTCCGCCTTTGAAAAGAAGAACTCACCAGTGCTTCTTGTGGCACACAGGTGGAGGGCATGACTCTCCATGACTCTTGTGATGTCTATTCCCCGATGACTCCGGGGATGCCCTTACTACTAGTAGTGATGCCCTTTGTTACTAGTAGTTTCTTGTTCCGTTCGTAGTAAGGCCAGGAGCTACTAGAGTACTGCTACTAGCATCCTTACTACTAGGTGCATCCCCATCCCGTAGACAGCCAGGATGTGTTTTGGTTGACCCGATCTGCACCCGATAGAGTTGCTTGAAGGTTGGCCTACCGTTCGAGAAAGAGCTGGTGGAATGCCAGCACGTCGAACGATGCAGCATGCTCTCAGATCAGAGGGTTCAACGCGGATTGATCTTCGAAGATAAGCCGTTGATAGAAGAGGAAGCCTGTCAAGTTTCATCAGAGCTTTTTCACCGCTGTTTCCCTTCAAGTCACGCTTCCCCTCTGCGGGTGAGACGCCAATCCCCCCCCTTCAAGGACGCGTCGTTCTCGTCGTTCTCGTCCGTTTGGGGGATCGATGTTCACCGTTGTGGGTTTAGAAGGTCGCATTGGTAAATGGTCTGGCCCTGGGAGCTCGACGATAAAAAGAATGGTCGAAAGGACCTGAGTTCGGGAACTTCCTTGACTTCAGCCGGTCAACATATCGTCGAACGGTTCCTGGACTTCTAGGATTGGCATAGGGTAGGCAGCCTGGCATAGATCGTCATGAAGAATTCACCAGGCCAGCAGACCCAGACCCTCGACTCGACTCTTTCACATTCCCACCCTTTTCAGTACGCGCCATTGCACTCTGGCTAGTGTAGCTGCTGGTGCCAAGACTTGCAACACATGTTTATCCATTCTATTCGGAGGTAGAGTTTGGGCGGAAAAAGAGAACATATGTTTTTTGGCTTTTCCGGCCTACCGCAGATGCCACAGATTCGACCAATCGAAGATCTCCCATGTTCACCCAACACCTCGGCCAAATTGGAGGAGCTTCGTAAATTCCAAGAACCATAAACGGTCTTTTTCAAAGAACCATTGTGTTACAAAGGATTCCTTAGGGTCAAGCCATTCTTTTCGTCAATCAGGGTCGGCGAAACCGGACGTTTGTTCACTCGCTGCTGCGAAACCGAAGGTGGCGTCGCGAGCGCCTGCGCCGGTCGCCAGCGGTCGGAAGGATGTGCAGCGGGCCCGGGCGAAGCTGGAAGAAGTTGGGTCCTCCTTGGTGGGGAAAGAGGTGGGGAAAGAGCTCGATAGCAAGGACGCTACGATCGGGGCGAAACTGGCCTTACTACGAACGGAACAAGAAGCTACGATCGTAGCTCCTAACATCGCTACTACGAGCAAGAAGCTACTAGTAGCAAGGACGCTATTGGGCGGGTGACTGAAATGGTGCCGTCGGTCGTGTCGATGGGTCAATGGTTTCAAGTTTTCAAGTTTTGGGATCTTATGAGCATTTATGATGCCCTTTGCTCCTAGTAGCGTTCTTGCTCCTATATATAGTTGTAAGGCCAGGAGCCCCGATCGTAGCGTCCTTAGCGATGCCCTTGGCTCCTAGTAGCGTCCCTTATGAGCATTTATGAGCTATCTCAGGCATGTGGGAACCCTAGACATATCTACGTGGTGCCACGGGCCCCACCGCCGGATCGTCGGGCCAGATGTTCGTGGCCACCGACGGAGGGATCGGAGAGGCGCCCGAGATCCCAAAAGCAGATGACTCGGGTGGTTCTTTCATGCAAAGCTTGGGAAGTCCAAGACCGGTGACACTGGCGATGAAGCAACGGTCCTTGACTTTCAATCATGTCCTCGTTTCGGTGCCGGGAGGAAGACCTTGACGATGATTCGATGCTGATCGACCTGCCTCATCGGCTTGCAAAGACGAAGTCGAGCGCCACGAAAACACTTCCGATGCCCGGCCGAGTGTGAGAGCTGGCATGTGATTCTTCTTTTTTGTGAATCAGTGGTGAAGAATTATGCCCATCCCCAAAGCCCAGATCTGCGGATCTGCCGAGGATGTACCAAGTCGTTGGCATCTCTGCAGATGCCATCGGCCTCTCGTGGCCTTTGATGGAGAACGTCCAAACGGAGGTGGAGGTCGAAGGGGAAGCTTCTTGCCTAAAAAAGCCGGACATATTGAGCTTCATGTCAACCCCCTTTACAGTACCACGGCGATGGCGGTCACTAGTATGGAATGAAAAAGATCAAGACCGTTGTTTGTTAAAAAACATATGTTTGTTTGTTCCAAGTCTTTGGGGAATCAGGGTCAGCCCTCTACTAAACATCCTGACTCAGGGCCGAATGGCATAGATCAAGGTCGTACACCAGCATAGACCGCAGATAGAAACGACGCCTAAAAACAGAAGCACCTCAAACAAAAATCAAACAATCCACAATAAAGATCCATGAGAGCCTCCAGTGAACGTCAGCGGGTCCAACAACGCCTCTCCTCGTGACTCCACTAATCTCGTCATTCTTTCGGCTCCGCGCCCGCGGTCTCAGCACACCCAAGGGACTGTTTTGGGCTCCATGGCATTGGCAGGGCCAATCTGCTTCTCACGGCTAGTGCCGATCTTTGGGCAAAAGGGGAGACAAGGAAGAAACAGCCATTTTTCCGCTCGTAGAAACACGTGCCTTGCTAGTAGTTTAACAGGTGCCTTACTAGTATAGTAACAAAAAACAGCAGTGGCCGTCAAAACGCCGAGCACACAGGCAGACAAGCGCAAGAGACAAGTATACGAATTCTTCTCTCTTCGTTGCACTTTCAGAGGCGAACACCTGCAGACACTTTCGTTGCCTGGCTTTTCCGAACGTACACGTCTGTAGCGGAAGCGACGCATGTACATCATCGGGAGGGTGGCACCGGTGACCGCTGGCCCAGAAGTCGGAACGCCCAACTGAGTTGGAAAGCTGGAAAGCTCATTGTTGAGGTGTTGAGCCATTTTTCCACAGCTGGCAGACAGGTTGCCTTGAAGAGTCAACATGTGACTCTTGGTGGTCTTTTTCAGGGTGACACACACACACCGAAAAAACAGATGTTTTTTCAAGGAAGACGGCCAGATCAGGGGCTGTTTCTGCGGTCTGTGCCTCACTTTAGCATCATTGGCGTAGGCGTTCTCCACCTGCCAGGTTTTGTTTGAAGTGACCTGGAAGGGCCCTTCGGAGGGCATCTGGTGCCACAATCGTTGTGGGACGCTCAGTTCTTCAGCGGCGCGCCCCGGAAGTCGTCTTGAGGAGTTGATTTAGAACGAAAGGATTGAGCCCCTAGTACCGTCCGATGGCTCCTAGTAACCATGCCCTTTGCCCCTAGTAGTTTCTTGTTCCTAGTAGTAAGGCCAGGAGCCCCGATCGTAGCGTCCTTGCTCCAAAAGTAGAACCTCGCTTTGGTTTGGTAGTGGTTCTATTTTGGGGTAACCTTTGGGATGATCCGGATGGGTCTTGGGTGGTTTCCAGTACTGAGTCTTTGGTTTGGTTGTTGAACTCTGGGGCTTTAGTCTAACATTTTGGGATGAAAGGGTCCTGGAGTTCCGGGCAGAGTTTGTTCGGTGAAAACTGGAACCCCCGAAGTTGCGGGTTTGTCGCTTAATATGCATATCATATGTCTTGTGTCAATTTTCCCACTATCTCAGTTTTTGTTTCTTGATGCTTCTGGTGTTTTCACGAAGCGTTTGGCGTGGATCCAATCATTTTTTGCTGTTGGCACGCAAATGATGTTCAAGCTTGTGTTAATTGGGGGTTCTTGGAAGTTTTTGCAACTTTCAAAAGTTTTTAAGTGTTCTCCAGCTATGCTTGGTGCACACGCCCTGAGGCATCAGATTCAAGTGGTCAATCCTTACAGAGAAACATCGATGGAGACGGAGCAGGACAGCCCAGGCGGCTTGGAAAAGCTCGGACTGGGCATGTGGAGTGGTTGGTCATTTGGATGGTGGGCGGGTCAAAACATGCTGCACGCGTGGTACATACACATGTTCAAAACGTGTTTGGCAACAGGAGTCATCCACCTAAAACAGTTGATCTCCTTGCACCAGGGGATTTGGTTCCTGAAAGTGGGGCCCCAATGGACTGAAGGTTCCATACCTCAGAACAGCCCCATTCGTAGCGTCCGATTGCGTTAGTGCCAGGAGCCCCGAGTAAGTAGCGGTCCTGGACCTTCTTTCGGTGACGTGCGATTCCTGGCGCCGGGTTCTTCCTCCGCTGCGCGCGTCACCGACGAGATTCTGACCTGCACGGGCAGCCGGGAGTCGCTGGGTCGAAGGTTGGTTCGGTCGTCGGGGCCGGCTGGGACGGGGGGTCAAAACGTTTGCCCGCACGGGTCAAAACCTGGTGACCTCCCAGGTTTCTGAACCACCAACATACCCTGCTTTTGATCCACTGCGTTTTTGCATGTTCAGCCTGTACTCGGTCGACGCGATTGATCCCACTGACCAAGATTTTGTTGTTTGTGAGTTGAAACCACCAACCAGTCGGGATACGAAGCACGAAGCGGGCCATTTGGCCTGCAGCATGGGACCGAAAACAGATCGAATACCAATTATCCGTGTTTCTCTAGAACATGGGTTTTGATGCTTCCATGTTGAGTAGACTTCAAGCTGTCCAAAACTACGGCGTTTTAACCGGAAGGGGGGGGACCTCATGTCGTGAAACAGACTGGGAACTCGCGGTTCTTTCGCTGTTGGTTTTGAACACCATCTTCAGGTATTCTATTTCCAGTTCCTTTTCAAACCGAATTCGTTTGATCACCCATTTGGTAGAGAGGCCGCCACAAACTACCAACCATGGAGTTCAACTAACCCCCACAAGACTTGTTCACGAGGGTCTCGTGAGCCTTCACAAAGGCCATACTGTGTCTACTGCTTACAACCGACGAGTTGGAAGTCTTTGCCCGTCACAGGCAACAAAGGGACCCCAGACTCAGCGTCCAAGTGTCCAAGTTTCCTACATCAGTAGTCTACGTTATCGGGCTGTGCCCCCAAAAACATGAACCCCATCACTGAATCGAGTCAATGCCTATAGTTTTTCTACCATGCGATGTATTCTTCTGTGAGTTTTGCTGTGGACTTTCGACACTTGTAGCCTCGTGTGGTTGGGTGGTTGGGTGCGCCGCTTCTTCTTGCAAAGGCTCCGCTTCCGCATTTCAGCCCTGGCTGGCACTGTGGAGCATCTCCGACGTGAGATCTCCAATGCGCTCGAGAATCCCAGCGGGCCGTTGGCGAAAGCCACCACTTGGGACCCGAGCCAATTGCAGGCGAGGCACTAGTAGCACTACTAGTAGCTTCTACGGCTTCTTCGCCCCATTCGGTTCGCGTCCGATCGCTCCGGACTCGTTCGTCGCGATGCCGTTACTACGTGGAAAAAGCACCGAGCCGCCGAGGCAGCGGAGCATGCTCTGAAGTGTCGAGTGGCATTGATTCAAGGCCCACCCGGCACAGGCGGGGTGAGACGACTCAACTCCCCCGGCACAGGCGGCGTTTTGCTTTCGTCAGCCTGGAGACAACATCCGCACCCATCAAGACCTGGAGTTGTTGTTTGGACCCCAACTCATGTTGTTTGCTTTTGTTGTTTAAATCTTCCACAACCTCGCTTTCTCCCCCAAAAAGTAAGAGATGCCTTAAAAGGGTTCCTTCTTTCAAGTGACGGTAGGACGGTAAGACCTTACAGCTCGGCACCCACACTGCCCACACCATGCCAAGAGAGGTAAGACCTTCATCGGCTGCAAGTTGCTGCAAATGTTCCTGCCCAACTCACGTGTGCTGGTCCTGACCTACAAGAACCATGCAGCTCGGCGCGGCCCCGCGCCAGGCTCCAAGGGTGGGAGGGAGAGAGAGGGAGAGGGAGAGAGAGAACCAGTGTATGTATGTGTATGTCGAGTCAACATCAACTGCGGCAGCTTGTTGCAGCTGGAGAGACTTTTGGAACAGTGTTGGATCACATCATTGCTACAAGTTGAATCCATAATATGCATATAGATGTGTCTGAGAATGATAAGCGGCAAGCTCGCGTGGAGCTTGCCGCTTGGCCAGGAACTCTCATAGCTTCACCGCTACACAACGAGGTTTGAGTGTCTTACCAGGTGTTAGGGACTGCTAGTGAAGGCCAGAGATATGGATGCCAAGGTCGGCGAAAGCCTCGGTCCGTTCCTTTTGTACTTAAATCTTTCCATCTTTGTCAACTAAGCTGAACCCCTCTCTGAGGCATTAGATGACTTTCTGCAACATTGCCTCCAAGCAGGTTATGTGGATACAGTGGCGCGCGTGGGAGGCCGCAGCAATGATGACTCCCAAGAACTACAGTCCTGCAACCTGAGGCGGGTCAAGTTTCGCGAAGCGATTCGGGGGCCCTTGAAGATCACCGAAGCACGAGCAGCGCTGCCTCGCACGCAACGCGTGGTCTTGCGGGATCCTTCGCAGCCGCCTTTTTCACCAAGCTCACCTTCAAAAGGGGTGTTTACTCAGCGGTGAAATACGTCCTGTTGGCAACACTTCATGCAACCTCAGTTGATGGTGAGGTAACTTGAGCCCTCTCGGTTGTGTTTTTCGAGTCAGTTCACTTGTCTGTGCGTACTTGCAAGACGTTTTTTGTATTTGGTTTGGGCTGACAGTCTTTGTTTGTGGGGCATGGGTGCTTCGGCAAGGGCAAGTCGAAAACAAACGAGACTTGGCCTTTGTTCCTAGTAGCGTCCTCTTGCTCCGTTCGTAGTAAGGCCAGGAGCCCCGATCGTAGCGCCCTTGTTCCTAGGGTGTGGTCACTGTCATATAACAATGACGTGTGTGATCGGCAGGAGCCTCCGAAAGAAGTTGCAATCACGCACTGGCAAGCGGAAGAATGACGCCGATGTTGACCAGGCCATCCACAAATTGCGCCTCTCGTTGAATAGAAACCACTGTCTCCCTGGAGAAAATACAGTGAGGAGCTCCACACATGGTCCCAATTCTATCCAATGAGTAGAGAAAAAAGAGAAGAACCAAAACAAAGGCAAGGGCGTTGACAAGGCCCCTTGTTTAAGGCCCGTATACCTTCTCTTGTCATTCTTCCCCAAATGTTGAGGGTCTCCAGGGACCTGAGCGTTTGAAACTCTCTTCCTCTCGCCTCGTCAGGCTTCTCGCTGGACGTTGGCCGAGTCAGTTCGCGGCAAATCGCACTCCCTCCAAACATGCCCTGGTTTCATTCATCTCATAGACAGAGCATGTGAAAATGCAGGGTTGCTCTTTTTCGTTAACTGAGCAAGCAGTTTGGAGAGCCAGTGGCTGGATGTTAAAGACTCCTCAAAGGCTGCATTTGGGTTTGACTTCGAAAAGATTATTCTTCTTTGCCAAAGCTGAAAGACACAGAGCGATTCTCAGCTGATCGAAGTCAAAACAAGGTGAGTGTAACCAATTAGTGATTAAAAAAATAAAGGACGCACGCTGCTCCAAATTCGGGAGATGGAGCAGCAAAACAGGACATGATCTTTTCCGAACCGAACGCCCATCCATCGGTCACGTGGCGCCACGGGAGCGTCTTCGAAGGGCACCGCCCTGGCCACCGGGGTGCTGCCGACGCTACGAACGCTACTAGGAGCAAAGGGCATCGCTACTAGGAGCAAGGACGCTACGATCGGGGCTCCTGGCCTTACTACTAGGAGCAAGAACGCTACTAGGAGCTATTGTTCGCTACTAGGAGCGTAGCAATTCTCACAGTCTCTTCGAAATGTTCTTCACCTCTGCTCAAAAGGGATGGCCAAGTCCTCTAAAAAACTGCTCAGCGATGCTCACCCGCTGCAAAAAGTGACGCAAACTCACCACTCAATTTGGCCAGATTGCACAGCAAGGAGGGTGCAGAGCTGCGACCGGAAAACCCCACGAGCCACTTCACCTTCTGAAAATAGCCCAAATGGCCGGCTGCCAACTCGTTCCTTTTTGCGGAGTGTTTATACCTGGGTCGTTCCGGCATGCTGCATTGCATTCCGAGGATGGCTTTAGCATCGCAAGCGAAGTTCGTGGTGGCCGCTGAGCAACATAAGCTCTTGGTGGCGCTGCACCATTTCCTCGACAGAGGCAGGGTCGGCAGGGTTGAGCGCTGTCGAATCCAAGTCTCATGTTCACAATCGGATGTTGGGGAAGGTGCAGTCCAACTCGCAACCAACGCATTTTTGTCACTCAGTTCTTACCATGGCAATCCGGTTCAGACTTGGCGTCGCTTGGACGGACGCTTTGTCGGAGAGACGCGACCAGGTCGTTCCCCGGTCGTTTGACGCATGAAAAAAAGACCAGGAGCTGCTGAGCTGCTAGTCGCAGCTTCTTGCTCCGTTCGTAGCGATGCCCTTGGTTCCTAGTAGCATCCTTCCTCCTAGTAGTATGGCCAGGAGCCCTAGTAGCGTTCTTGCTTGCCAGGAGTGCACACTGTGGAGACCTTCTTAATGGCGATGTCTGGTCAGGGTCAGGAGATCATCCTCTTTCTGCAAGAGTGGATGCAAGTTTGGCTTCAGGAGGATCCAAATCGGACAGGCAATCACCACCACCGGCAGTTCTTGGATGCTGGACCTGACGATCGTTCTCACGGGTTGGTTGAATTGCTTGGTCCGCACGACTTGTCCCGATCTCCAATGCGTTTGGGGGGGGTTCGACCCTTCGGGTCGGTCCTGCTTTGGGATTGGTAGATCATCAATGCGCCGGTCCCTGTCCACTGGTCCGTGTAGTTTTCTTCCTGCTTTAGGAACCATTGAGTTTTGTGAGAACTATCACCCTGTTTGAGCACTACACCAGCAGTGATTTTGTTCAGTTGCCTCTCAAAGTGGGATTTGATTCTCCTTCGAGTCAAGAGGCGTGTCATGAGCCGCAGCCACTGCGGCCTCTTGAAATAAGGGCTCAGGCCGGCTGTCCGTCCCTTCGAGCTATACGTGCCAGCATGGCCCACCCAACGCGGCCGCCAAAGGAAAGAGGGCTTCACGTTCATGATAGACGTCTCTTGCAAGGGCAAACATGAAACGAAGCTAAAGTTGGGAACACCCCAGCAACGACCACTTGACTGTCTACTTGACCCTGCGAGTGTCGAGTCCAGAGCCTCCAACCTAATAGCAAAAGCAACCTAATAGCAATGGAACTCGTCGAAGACAACATGATCGGACCGCCCCACATGACGCCGCCCAGGAATGTGCAGACATTGTCGGACACTCCTTAGACCAACGTTGGGAGCAGCTACCTGAACTGCTCGGCGACAGCTCTGAACAAGAGGCTGGGCTACCAGGTACCAGGAACCACAACGGGCTCCGCAAAAATAACTTGCGAATATTCCATGTAGTGGTGGTATTTGATTGATATGAGTTTTGGTGTACTGTGGATGCAATCAACAGCCTTTGACATCTTCTGCATTCATGACTACTAAGAAACGGTAATCGAGGCCCGGAAGCAATGGTTTCCTTAATGATTGGGTGACAGTCAGCCCCAAAGTTTGCCACGATTAGCAGCAACCGTTTTGCCAGAAGCAACACTTTGGCCATCCCAAGCAGTTTCCAAATGTTGACAAACCGAGTGCAATTGTTGCCTTTTCCCAGGAGCAAGTGATATGGGCATGTTATTGGCTACGGGACTATCTTGATCGAGCTCTCATGGATTGGTATCCTCCAGGAAAGCATGTGGCAGAAGTGGCACGAGCGTGCCCTGGGCACAGATGATGAAAGAGCGGGGGCCGTGTGATGGCGAGGTTGTCCAGGATGGCAAGTTCTGTCTTCGGTTCTTTGCGAGTCTAAGACCGTCTATGACCTGTGTTTGTGTGCATTGAAAAATATCTCAGCGAGCTTCTCGAGATACCTGAGGTATTTTGGACAGGATTGTGAGCAAGATCCAGACGAAGAAGCTCCAGCGAGGGTGGTCTCTGCGGATGAGGCAGTTGTTGTGATTGATAGCCAGGAGGACTTGAAGAAGGTTTCCGCTGCCCTTCAACAGAATTTGCAGGTCCTGCATGCGGTGCAGCTTCATGACGGCCACTCGCTTTGTTTGGTCTAGCCGGTCTAGTCAATAAGCTCCGTTTGCAGTGTGTCAACAGCGATGTTGCAAATCTTGTGGGAACATGCGCATGGGTGGGTTAAACACCCCGTAAAGGACGACCCCAAACAATCCCAAAGCCGTCCAGTCCGGAGATGAGCCGTTTTTTCCTCACTGGTTCTCCTCGCACTGCCAGGTGTGCTGATCGAGAAGGGCTGGACACTCCACCGGTGTGTCGACCGAACCGGCGCGGAGGTGCTTTGCGCTCCACAGCTGTGGCGCGACCAGGCGGCTCTGGCACAGCGGCCTCTGAGCCTGTTCTTCGAGCCGGACGACGAGGCAGAACGCGAGCTCCAAGCGGAGATCGAAGCCGAACGGCTGCAAGGCGCCAGTGATCTGATGAGTCACGGGTGTTGCTTTTTCTCATTTTGAGATAATTTTGGTTCGAAGTTACTGTTGAAGGAAGAAACGTTTCGGACTGCCAGACATGTTGCTCTTGTGCAGGCAAAAATATAACCCTAGCCCACCACAAGTGGTTCGTAGAAACAACACTTCCGGAAGTTTGTTGCCAACTGGTTTATCCTAACGTTTGCTATTAGAAACAAGTGCCTTACTACTAGTAACAATAAGCTAGTAGAAACAAGTGCCTTACTAGTAGTAACAAGTGCCTTACTGGTAGTAACAATGTTTGCTATTAGAATTAAACTAAGTCGGATCCTAAGTCCGTGTCCGGGGAACCTCATCCCCGTGTCATCCGTCGTAACCCTCTCAGGTGCCGGAACCGATGCCCGGGAGTCTCTGAGCGAAGCGGAGCGGAAGGCATTGATCCCAGCGCGGCGAGAAGGCGAGCGTGACAGACACGAAGGCCGTCCACACGTGCGGGTGCCCTACAAAGTGTCTGGCCAGGGCGACTGTGTGGAGCGGTGGCCGAATGGAGCACTCTTTCACTTGAACAAAGAGGAATGCAGGGTCGGTCTTCGTCTTCGTCTTCGTCTTCGTCTTCGTCTTCGTCTTCTTCTTCTTCTTCTTCTTCTTCTTCTTCTTCTTCTTCTTCTTCTTCTTCTT